CCGTGAAGGTATTTTTAAAGCCTCCTGAAACCTTACAAACTGAAAACGTCAAGGAACAAAACCAAGGCGATTTTATCCATCTCTGAACTGTAAACTCACTCCTGAGGACGGATCCTAAAGAAAATATCAGGAAGCAGAGGCAGGAGGATTGAAAGCTGCAGGCCAACCCAGACAACTTGAGACCCAGTCTCAAAATAAAAGTTTTTACTGTGTCTTTGTCACAGTAAAAGACTAGTCATGGCTGCAAAATTAAGTGCATTCTGAGTTCATTTCCAGACACTCAGCAAAAGTATATCAAACAAAACATGAATTAATCCTAGCGTTAAGGAAGAGAGAAGAACAGCTTCAACGTTAGAGCTGTTGAGGCTGGCAATGAATATATGCTGGCTTCTACCATTTCTCCTTTTATTGAGCTCGAAAAGATTCATAATAAAGAGTAAAAAATAAAATCTATAAATAAGCTGCTCTCCAAAATAATACGTTTTAAATAGCAATATGGAAAATATTTATGAAACAAATTACAAGTAATAAATGCCCACTTCCAAAAACTGTCTGCACCTGTAACCACAGCCACAGTAAAGAAATCATTGTCAGAAGTATGGAATATGAACCACTACTCATTCCTTAAATCAGCTTCTGTCCCCTTCTCCTGCAAGATGGGATCTGGCTACCATGGCCCAGGCTGGCCTTGAACTCCTGCTTCAGGCTACCTGGGATTACAGGTATATGCTACCTATCCAGCTGTTTTATTTTTTATTACTAATAAAACAAGGGTCGATTTAAAAGCTGTTTTCAGGGCTGGCAAGATGGTTCAGTGGGTAAAGGTGCCTGCCACAAAGTCTAATGACTTGAGTTCAACACCCGGAAGCCACAGACGGCAAGAAGGGACTTCTCTGAAGCTACCCTCTGACTGTCACATGTGCGCCTTGGTGCACACAGACATGTGCATGCACACAAACAAAATAAGTAAGTGTAACATGTATCTTTTAAAAAACGTTTCATGGTCATATGGCTGAGTTGTACTGAATCTACCAAAGTCTTAACCCACAATGCCTTCAGGAGGAGTTTGGATGTCAATTCACTGAGTTTTACTCAGAGGACGACTCCTGAGTCACTGGTATGTAACTTCTCTTTCTGGTTGTTTGTTTCGTTTTGCTTCATTTTCTTTCCTTTTGCAGATCTGGGGACTGAACCCAGGACCTTGCCCACGCTAGGCAAGTGTGCCATCACAGAGCTGCCGGCCAAGCCTTTGTCTGAAGCAAGCTCTCCCAAGATCCAGGCTAGCTAGAACTCCTGAGGCTCCTGCTTCGGCCTCCCACGTGCTGGGACTACAGGTATGCGCCACCACAGCCAGGCGGTTGTTTAAGACCCTTCCCCGTCTCATCGCCCTGTGGAGGGTCTCAACACAGATGAACAAACATTGCAGGTTTTAAAAACTCCCTCTGGGAGAGGAGAGGATGCTCATGTTTTCTAGGAAAGGGAACGCTGCCTAAATAAACAGTAACTTCTCAGAGTAACGGAGGCAAGGTCACAACAGGCTCGAACTCCGAGAGGACGGGTCACTCCACCATCTCTTCCCCCAGAACCTTCCGTTTTACCTGGTGGAGCCGCCCCACATCTTGACGGTGTACACCTGCGTACACGGGCTACTGTACTTACCGTTTGCTGTGTTCTGGATCCTGGTGCTCCCCCTCTGGCTTGGCTGCGGATGCCCGGCGCTCTCTGGGGACCTGAAGCATTAACACCAATGAAAGGGATTTGGTCCTCATGCAGGGGAGAAGCCTTCACCTGAGGGAACAACCTTCGATTTCCCAGCAGGCTCCCTTCTTCACTCGACTCCTGATTGTCTGCTGAGCACCGATCTGCTCCAAAGGAGCTACCAGCCTGGTCACCACGGCAAGAGGTGACAAGCAGACTTGGGGCGCCACAAACGCAGTCTGTCATGTGAGTGAGGATGCCTTTCTTCTTTATTTAAACATTTTTAAAACACGTGTTTTATTTTATGCGCATGAATGTTTTGCCTGTACCTATGTCCATGCACCAAATGAGTGAATGGTGCCCATGGTCAAAAGAGGGCACCAGATGCCCTGGAACTGGACTTAGAGATGGCTATGAGCCACCATGTGGGTGCTGGGAACTGAACCCAGGTCCTCTGGAAGAGCAGCCAGTGCTACTAACCACTGAACCACCTCTCCAGCCCTGTTCTTCTCCTTTTATAACTCTTCTTTTCTTTGCCCCAAAGCCGAAAAGCAGACAGAGGACACTGGGCACACTAGGACATGAACCCACCTGAGATGTGGCCCAAACAGGTACACAGATGTTGTTGATATGCGGGTGAGATATGGGAGATATTTGCGGTGCAAGAATTCTTTCATATTTCACCATTAACAACAAAACAAGGGGCCGGCAAGATGGCTCCGTGGTTAAGAGTGCGCAGAGCCCTTGCCCGGGAGTTCGGGTTCCAGCACTCACATCAGGCAATTCACAGCCACCCCAGAACTCCAGCCTCAAGGGATCCAGCTCCCTCTTCTGGCCTCTGTGGGCACCCGCACTCATTTGCAGACATCCCCCCCGCATACATCCCTGTACACACACACACACACACACGACATGAAACTAAGTGTTGTCTGATTGATTAGCAATCCGTTTTTAAAGCATTGCTAGTGATTAGGCAATAACAGCAGATGCTCACAATCAAGAAAATCAAATGGCCGTTCCTGAGCATCTGCCGTTAGTCAAGCCTAGGAGACAGCAGACACGGGCCACTCCCCTGCACCAGGGAGGACAGTCTGTGGCAGGAACTGAATAAATACATCCCAGTTCCTGGGCCCGAGAGTCAGAGTGACACACGGGCTGTCCGGCGTGACACAGGTCATCAGTGAGTGGCAGCTGAATTCCCGGGACTCTGTTAAGAACCACGAGGTGGACTGGTGCAAAGACCCACACACAGTACACATCAGAGTGAAGGCTAGTTCAGCTGTCTAGAAGCAGACAGGATAAATGGATTCTGATCTCAGAACTGTAAAAATGTGCACTTCCCCCAACCAGTGCTCAGGCTTTGTGATAGCGGTTACAGAAAAGGCGACTGCCCTGACCACCCGGCCGGGGAGAGCCAGGTCAGTCGGCAACAACCCCTTTCCACGGCACCAGGGACCAGGTTTGTTCAAATGTTCAACCTGGGGGGGGAGACGTGGCTACCATATCCTTTTATGGCCGCGTCTCCGTCAGCTAGGGCCAGAGCCGCGGTTTAAAAACGCCCTTTGATTCTGGGATTGGGGATGCTCGGCTTTGAACCACAGAAAAGCCCGAGTGCTCATTAAACTATTTATAGTCACTACAGAAGCAGCCAGCCCGACACTCAGCAAATGGCTGTTTTATAGGCTGCTGAGTCAGGTGCGTCTGAGAACGCACACCATCGGGGCTGTAGGGAGCCCGCGACCCACCTTGTAGTAGTCATAGAGCAGGCCCAGGGCGGCGGCACTGTCTTCGTCGCCATTGATGCTCATCATCGCTTTGGTGGCCGCCGTGAGAGGGTTTTCCAGGAAAGACTTCCAGGCCTCATCCTCGCTGGTGTAGGAGCGCCGCTGCGGATAAAGTGCTTCATTCTGAAGAACCAGCACCGGCCTTTTGCTTCGGAGGAAGAAATTCAAAGTTAAATCCACATTTCCCATAGCAAGACAGCTTACAAGCTGTTTAACACACACACAAAAAAAACAAAACTGAACCGATAGTTCTTTGACGTTCCTATAAAATAGGACACACGGCCCTGTGCCAGATGGTAATTACAGGGAAGAGGCTGCTCAGTGGCCTCCCGGCATGGACAAGGTACTGGGTTCCATCTCCTGCTTTGTAACGAATTAAATACCAACACCTGCCGGGCGGTGGTGGTGCACGCCTTTAATCCCAGCACTCGGGAGGCAGAGCCAGGCGGATCTCTGTAAGTTCGAGGCCAGCCTGGGCTACCAAGTGAGTTCCAGGAAAGGCGCAAAGCTTCACAGAGAAACCCTGTCTCGAAAAACCAAAAAAAAAAACAAAAACAAAACAAAACAAAACAAAAAACCCAACACTTTTGAAGGCCCACCCACAGAAACCTCAATAAAGTAAACGAAGCGGTGTCCACACTCCTCTTAAAGGTATTTCTGGAATAAATAAAAACATTCAGAAAACTCAGGTTTGATTTACAAAACACTTTTTCTAAAGGCATATTTTAAATCGCCTCGTGACCTATGAGCTACATCAGTGACCCTAGGAAGTCAAATGAAGACACACCCAGAAGGCACAGCAGACCGGAGGACCCCCGTCAGAGACACTGAGAAGATGTCAAAACCCATACTACCCCCAAGACGATCACATATCAGCGGCACACACAGGCACACTCAAGGAATGGGTACTTTTCAAACACACTCAGGCAGGCAGGGCTTGTCATGGTGCTACACACACTTCCCCTTCCCCCTGCCGAAGCCCATGACTCCTTCCGAGAAACAGGGACAGGAAGAAGGGACCAAAAGCAAAAGGGACATTTCACTTAATCCTTCAGGGTAGATGAGAAAGTTAGAAGACGCTACTGTTACTAGAAGAAGGAGCCTGGAATGTAGCCAAAGGGGACTATAAATCAATAAAGAAGCATAATTTTCTGGCATGGGAGTGAACTGCTTATCTTAGAGATAAATGCAACCTATAACAAAGGAAGCCATGGAATGGAAATCAGCCTTTTTAGAAAATAGTGGACAAATCTGATTTCAAACATGTTTACATGGACCCCGGGAAGATGGCTCAGTGGGTAGAGGCACTTGTTCCTAAGTCTGCCGGCTTGACGTTCTATCCCTGGGACTGACAGAGCGGAAGGAAAGAACAGAGTCCTGCAAGTTGTCGTCTGCTTTTCACGCGCGCGCGCGCGCACACACACACACACACACACACACACACACACACACACACGCACACACACGCTCGCGCGCGCAAATTAATTAATCCATTAAAAACCCTCCTTAGCTGATGACATGCTTCAGCTGGTGAAGGCACCCAAGTGAAACCTCCAAGACCCACATGGCCGAAGGAAAGAGAGGACTTGCCAAAAATTGTCCTCTGACCTCCAAGTGTGTGAATGTGTGTGTGTATAGCACACACGAAAACTCATACAATACCGTAAATGAACTGTGAAAAAGAAAATCTTTACTAGGCTTTAGGATTTGACGGCACAGCTCAGGTGTTGGGCATGCGATTTCTCTCCTCAGGGTCCAGGACTTCCTGGGATTAATCCCCAGTGCGCCCTTCCCCCCAAATAAATAAAATCTTTATTAGTTTTTCACATCGGGCAAGAACTATTTCACATTAACAGTGCAGTTTGTGGGAAAATTCCAGAAAATCAATGGTGACTTTAGTGACGCTTTATAGGAGATTTAATTTAAATGATTCAAGCAAACATTACTGATTCCAAAAACTGGAAATGTCAACAGTCTCAACAACTGTTCAGCTGGTACTATTTAGTAAGTCAATAGAAGGGAGAAGGTGGAACATTGACTTTAGCGAGACGAAGCGGTCCTCTTTGTGTGCGCGAAGGGGAGAGAATGGAGGTGTCTGGAACTCCTCTGGGTGATGGCTGTCCTGACAGGCAGAGCGAGCGAGGCTCAGTTCTCATTGCAACACACCAGTGAAATATGTAAATGGCCTAGAGGTGACCCTACCTTTTCTAAAAGTGAGTCTACAAAGTCTGATTATCTTTTCAAGTCATCAACGAAGGTTAGGGCTTGGCATCCACCCAAATCCTTCAAAAACAGACAGAGATTTAGGAAGAAAAAAAAGAGAGAGAGAGAAAGAAAGGAAGAAAGAGGAAAAGAGGAGGACATCTTTGAAAAGGGGAGAAAAAAAATCCAACAACTCCGTCTGCCCTCAGAAGGCAGAGCTGTCTCAGAGTCTACGTCTGGGAACTTGTGACTGTGAAGATGATTCTAAGGGCTTACATCTGGAGGCAGGCTTATTATTTTGAAATTTAAAAATAGAGAAGACTTATCTCCATAAATCTCAAGTTTTAACCAAAGAAAGAAAAATACACAAAATGGCATTCCCCAAGCCTTTGTGTCCTGAGTCCAATGGTGGTACGGTACCCTGGTGAGATATCCTGGCAGATTCCCTGGTGTACGGCTGAGCTATTATTAATAGCCTAATAGCTACTTCCAGAAGATTCTGACAGCACTTGGCTCATTCAACAGTCGTAATGCTAGTTTTTCAAGCTTTCCTTCTTCTACCATCCCATCCTACATTGGTACAAGCATCAAAAAATAAATATTTTCCAAGTGGCTTTCTGTCTGCAATCACCCTGAAGGCATTTTATATTACCAAAGTATGCCTCAAGCCAAGAGGTTGGCGCTGGGGATTTTTGCCTTGTCGGCAAGTAGAGAAATAAGCAGACAATTGCAGTTCACTCCTTCATGCCCAGCAAGCTGTTGTTTTGGCCCTGAAGGTTCATGGGTGTTTTCAAATGAGCCTCAGACCTTCAAGAGAGCCCAGCACTCACAGAACTTTTTTTTTTTTTCAAGACAAGATTATTCTGTTGCTGATTCTACACACAGCTAAAACCTCCTTCAGAAAACAGGCACGAGAAAAATCCACCCTTCACAAGTAACTACGAAGCCAATTCTCTGCTCCAGATTTAATGAGCTGAAATAGCCGGGCTCCGACTTTCAGGACATCTTTATAAACACAGAAAAGTTGCGAGTAAAACCGAGAACCCTCCGGGACCCCCTCGCCCTGCCAACGTCCGATCACGTCTTAACACCACCCCTGTACATTTCTCGCTTCTGAAACCCCAAACCCCAAAAGCCAATCCCGATCCGAAAGAATTCTAAGTCTATCACCCTGCTTGCAGTGTGTCTTCCTCTTGCTACTCCCGACCAGGAGAAACAGTCTTCTGTAATTACCATCGGTGATGCAAGGGCCCGAGAACACCCACAGCCGTTTTCTCACACAGCAGCCGCAGCGAAGGAAACGCGCGGGCAGCGGACGCTTCCACCTTCCCCTAGATCTCTCCTGGCTCCCGCAGCAGCTCGCTCGCTCGGCAGGTGACAGCAGGCTGCCCGGGGTCCACCCGTCCCCACCGAGCCATGCATGGGTGACGGGGCCCCGGGGGCCCTCCGACGGCGAGCCGAGGGCCGGCTGCCCCCCTGCTCGCCCCGC